CCATTAGATGCCAAACAATACATTAAAGCACACAGTTACAATTAAAACAGCAATTAAAACCATTAAATAACATTCAATTTAAAACAGTCCGTATGACCGTACATAAATAGATTTTGGCATTTTATTACATTAACTTGCACCATGCAAATAATGTCTAAATCTAAGTAAATTCTAAATCTAAATGTTCACATAAAGTAATTGATTTATTATAACGTTTATAGTACTTTTATAGTATGGTAGATTTTAATTTTTTTAGCGTTCTTAGTTGTTTGGTTAGAACTAATATGGGGTGAAAAATGATCAAATTTCAAAGACAAGGGAATACCAATTTAGGAAGAGTTGACAGAATTGGAAAGAGAGCACCAGGAAGTTTACGACAAACCTCTAAAGTTCCCTGGATTGCACGCACTGTCAAACTACGTTTGACAAAGTAAGCGATTCTTCCCTCAGCACGGCAAACCTCAATTTTGTTTTTTCCTTTACCAGACAGGAAAACCATCTCCCCATCATCACCCTCAATGACAAGCCGGGCATTATTTTGCAACAGTGTCATCTCATTGTAAAAACCATGGATGGCTTGGTTGAATTTTTCCACCATGTGACTTGGGACTCCTGGTATACGGCTGACTTTGTTTCTCATTTTTTCCAGTGTTTCAATAGATAGCGGATGCGTCTGGTGCTTGATTCTCTCCCAGAATAGCTCCCAGTTGTTGAGCTCCAAGCTGTTCACATTGACTATGCACTTTGCTGTTCTCTTTTCACACTGTACTGAGATCTCACAGTCTCCATGAGGTGAGATGAAGAGTAAACTTGATTCATCCCATGTGATGTGCATTTTGGGTCTCTTGCTGAAGAGTTTTGGATACTTTGGCAATTCATTTACTATGTGCAAAAAGCACAAGCTTAGATTCCCAGATAGCAAGCTTTGTTCGGCCAATGTGTTGCATACTTCTCTAATTTTCTCAGCTCGCATTGCTACTGGCACTTGACATAATCGCTCCAAAAATGTATCTGAGGCCATCCCCATCACCTGGTATTGAGGATCTCCATTACTAACAGTAACATATATCCTGATATCTCCATTCCCTGCTATAAATTTTAGGTCCTCTTCATTCTCATCAAAATTAATTACCATTTGGGCATTGCTTTTTATGGTCGTAGGTTCTTTGTCGAACTCCTGAATGGCCAACATGAAGCATTTCTTCAAGGTGGGAGTTAACACATTCCATTTCTTCAAGCCATCTCTCACTTCTTTTAAAGTTTGGATGTTGAGTCGCTGTGGCTGAGAGCGTAATCTGCTCAGATACATGCGTGCAGATGGGGCTGTCACATGGTAGTTATAGTCACCGGCAAAAATACTGATCTTCCACTCTCGCTGTCCAGAGCCAAACTCAAATTTCTTCCCATCATAACCCTTGAGGACCATCTGGGCATTTCTCTTCACATACAAGGGTTCTTTGTGGAAGTTCTGAATAGCCTCAAGAAAGCAGACTCTCAGCCCTTCATCCATCAATCCATGATCTTCCAATNTCCAATGTGTTCCTCACTTTCTGTAGGTTTTCAACACTTAGAGGAAAACCTCTTCTGGCCTCATCCAGCATTGTGGATGGGCCTCTTACATGATACTGGGTGCCACCAGCACAGATGATGATCTTCCATTCTCTCTTCCCTGCCGCAAATGCCACTTCTCTTCCATCATCCCCTTTGAGGATCACATGAGCGTTTTTCATCACCCATGGAGGTTCTTCAAAGAATTTCTCTAAGAGAACTTGGAAGCATGTTCTCATGCCCTCATCCATTGTTGCTGAACGCTCCAACATGTCCCTTACTCTATTCAAGTTCTCAAGAGTCAGTTGATATACCAAGGTCTGCCAGATCTTCCAAATAATGGCTGAAACTGCTACGATCAACACCAAAACCACTGTGATCATTGTCAGACTTATCCAAGAAGCTCCAAATTTTAGATATATTTGGAATACCTGAGCTGAATGCCCTTTACAGGCCCTTTCACAGCTGTTACTATTGTTGGTCAGGTATTTTCAAACAGTTTCAGGCCTGTTCATTCCTAGTAAAATACATTAGGTTCTAGTGGCTGATCTTCCCTCCTTCAGCACATCTGTTGGCTGTGAACTTACTCTCCTGGTTTGGGAGGAAACCTGTAGCTCATCATGTTTTGCAGGAAATCTGTAAAAAAACAAACAAACAAACAGCAATCTATTTCTTGTAATGCCTTTTTCTAATTGTTATAAAGATGTCTCTATGACAGAAAACAAACAGGTTTATAAAACTGTGTATCAAATAATGACAAAGAAAACAACAGCCTGAGTGTAAACAGCAACATAAAAAGCAAAATAAAACAACATTTAAATATTAAATAATAATTAAATATTAAAATAAAGTTGGATGATGTTGGGATTTGCTATTGTACATTCTATCTCCTGCTTCTCTCTTAGACTGATGTGGGTTTCCACCTCAAACA